ATATATATATATATATATATATATATATATATATGTATGTATCAAGTCATCTCCAAACTTATTTTCTAAAAACTGAGTTCCTTGTCATCAAATTTACATTCAAAATTTAATTCATGTTATACCAATTAGTGTAGTATAAAATTGTAGTTAATAATCTATATTTTAATAGTATACAAGTTTTAAGTTCTTAATTTTATGAGGCAATATTAAATAAATATCCTAAGTTTCCCCTAGTGTGAGACATGTGACATTTTTTCTCCTCTTCTCTAATTTATTTACCATCCCTCCAAGAAGTATGAAATTTAACATCTCATTCACAACTTGTATATGATGGCATGTAGCCTAGACATGTGACCTATGAGTAACCAAGTTCTGGGTGAGGACCTCGTTCATCTTTGGAGCTCTTTACCCTGACACTGAGATTGTAAAAGTTTGCTGGCACATGTACATGCAAACATACAGTAATATGTTGCTATCCTAGACCCTTGGATTGTCAACAAGTCATTTAAGTTGACTCACAAGTCAAGTTACAAGTTGTAATGGGCAAGTCGCAAGTTATTTTATCCAGGTCTCAAGTAAAGACCCAAGTAAAAAAAATTGTGACTCGAGTTCAAGTCACATGACTCAACTGTACAACTCTGTACAAGTAGAGTTCGGAGTAGTAGGAACCAAGGTTGTGCCGGTCAATACGGAGCCACCAACAGGACTAGAGTGGTTTGGCTTAGGGATAGAATAGAACTCTGGAGAGGAGTCAAATAGGAGAGTAAGCATAGATGTGAAGACCCCTCCAATCTTGACAGAACGTGTCCATCCCCAGAGTTAGCTGATGTGGAACAGGAGACCAAAAGGAAGAAAGTTTGGTGTACCAGTGGGTGGCAAAGGTTTATATGCAGTGTCCCCAGCTGGTAACACCTGTGGATCGAAGGACCACTCTATGGGAAGAATCTTGTTGAGACGAGATAATTGATATGTAACCAGATTCAGGGCACCAGGAACATGGCAAGCTAAGACCATAATATGGTGACTGTGGGCCCAGAAAATGCAATCTAGGATCTGAAAGCACAGAGACCTGGAATTGGTACACCCTTACTTGGTGATATAAGAGACCATTGTGTAGTTGTTGGAGTGTACCATAACCACCCTCCCCTGGAGGATAGGAAGGAAGTGGGACAAAGCTCAATGAATTGCCATAAGCTCAAGAATGGTGATATGGAGAGAAGACTCCTTGATCAACCAGAGACTGGAAATATCCTGCTAGTCAAGGTAAGCACCCCAACCCTCTAAAGAGGAGTCTGTGAACAGATGTAAATCCAGATAAGACAGAGGAAGCAGCTCCCCTGACATGGTCTGGTGTCTGTCTAACCACCAAGCCAGGTCAGCTCTGATCTGGGAATGAAGGGAGTGTCCACTGAAGGGAATGCAAAAGAGCCCAGCCCATTGGAATGAGAGTTTCCAAAGAAGCCCATATCCCCAAAAGAGATATAAACTCTTGAGCTGTGAGAGAACATGAGGCAAAGGCCTTGAACCGCTTGCTCCATGTTCCAAAGACGAATACAAGAAAGCTGGGCCCAACTGAGGTAGAAATGAAGAAAAACCCCAAATGAATGGGGAATTGAGTGAGGGTAAGAATGGACTCCTCCCTTTCATCAAGAATCCCACCTGTGCTACTTCTTTTAGGAGCAGAAGAGTATGGTCTCTGGACTGTGAAGATGAAGAAGTGAGCAGTAGCCAGTCATCCATGTAAAGATGAGTGAGAAGAACCATCAAGTGAAGATGTTGGCCAAAAGCTCATACCACATGGTTGGGTCCTGAACTAGAATACTTAACTTTGAGCAATAAATAACTATCGGTGATATGGGCACTGTGGGGACAAACCCTGAATTGTAGATTACGAGAAGAACATTTAGTTTCTAGTATCAAGAACATAGGAAAAGGAGTCAAAGCAAAGGTCAGCCCCATGAATGTAACAAAGCAAAAAAAAATTAACTCCTACACTGATTAAAAGTAGGATTATAAGGCACATAGTTAACAATGATGAAAAAACATTTATCCAAATAGAACAATGAATTAGATGTTACTGATAGTAATGATATGTAACATACAAACTATCTAAACATACCTAGTTAACAAACTACTTGATAATAACAAGTGTGCAAACCGATGAAAATGACAAAGAAAACAAAGTAATAATCAATAGCTAAGTTTCAATTCATCTAAGTTAACTTAGATGACAAAGGACACATAAGTAAGGCCAACACTGACGATAATTAGGATTATATTAGTCAGATAAAACAATGAATTAGATGCGACTAGTAGTAATGATATGTACTTACAAACTATTCAAACATACCCAGTTAAAGTACTTATTAATATTGAATTGACAAACCCTCAAAACTTGCCAAGTTTTCAAGGTATGTAATATTAATGAATGTGCAAAACAAGTAAAATGACTTAGAAAAACAAAGTAATAAACAATAACTAACTTATAATTAATCTAAATTAACTTAGACAACAAAGGACATATAAATATCTAACTTACCAAAGTCCATGTGAAAAGAGGGACAAAGCTATACAAAGGGCATCTTAGCCATACCTACCACGGGCATATCCACCATGTGTGAAGTGTACTGTAACGGGAATTTCCATAGTCGATACACTGAATCATGAATTCATACTAGGATCTCTTATAATTCAGTAACAAGAAACAAACATAAAAATAAATTGTTGAAATAACTAAAAGCAAACATGGTAAAATAAAACTGTTGAAAAAAAAAATTTAAATGGCAAAAAAGCACAATCATAAATGGGAGCCACATGTGAAAAAACATATCCTTAAACAATGCTGTGCCAATTGAGAAAGTGTAGATTGAGCCAGAATAGTAGAGGGAGCTAGCTGTGCCAATATAGATGGCACAATACTATTGATGGAGAATTGTCACATGTTATGCACACGTTCAATAGTGGTACAAAATTGGTAGGGTACATAGACTGGTGCACTGAGCATGAAATTTTTTCAGGGCAGAAAGAAGATCGAGATAGCTTTGTGTGAAAGGAGGTAAGACACCATACTAGAACCACCTAGACATGCCTGAAAACCAACTATTTAGCTCTACATTGCATGAAGTAACTATGCTATGGTGCATATAGATAAAACCTTTTTATAATGAAGGATTTTAACTGAATCAAATTGAGATGAAACAGTTACATAATCATATATCAAAGATTTTGATAATACATTTGTAGATTTAGTGAGAATGAAAGTAATGAAATTATATAGTAAAATATACAGCATTACAAACTAAAGATCATGTAAAAAATTAATCAAATACAGTTCTGGTTATTAGCTCTTTTCTAAAATTTATTAATCAAACCAAAACAAGTCAAATCTATTAGTTCTTTCTCAATTAATATTAAATTAACAAGTTGTAGATTTGATTTAAAGGAAGAGTAATCTCCTTGTAACAGTCTCTTTTTAACCTCTGCACTCTTCTTAACAAAGAGTACTTCTCTTATCTACAACAAAAAGATAATATAAAATTTTGTGATTACTGCAAAATAATTTGAGTGTATTCCTTACCTACAACAACAAGTTCTTTGGTAGCCTGTCCAAGCAGGGTTTCTTTATATTTTTTCAAACTATTATCTTCATGATCAGCTTCTATTATTTCCTGTAGAGTTCGTTCTGCAGGAGGTCTGTAGTTGATCTCTTCCTCATCTTCAGTGATCATGACAGTATCTTCTTTTGAATTGTTGTCTGCCATTCTATTACAATAGTTATCAAAAAAGTATTTTTATTCCTAAATAGAATTGACTCCAAAACTTAAGCAATAATAATTTTTGGAAGGTAAGCCTTATATTTAGACTTTTCAAATAGGGTGATCAACTTTTGGAATAGACTGCCTTCAGACAAGATTAGAAGAGTTAAAGAGAGGACTTGATAAGCACTTGAGTAGTCAGGGCTGGCTACAGACAGATGGATATTTGATTAAATGAATGGGACAGTAACAATGGGCCAAGAGGCCATTTCTTATCGCTCAAATGTTATGTACATACAACATATTTTCTAAAACAATAAAATACAAAATAAGTATGATGTGCTATAAGTCACAAAGTCATATATCAATATCTATTTATTTTTAAAAGTACAGTTTATAATTGATATATATTGTAGACAGTTTAAGAACAAATTTGTTTTGTGTGAAACATATATTTTCAGGAAGTCCTGAAATTTGTTTTATTTAGGAAAAAACAAACAAAAAAATGGACTCCCTTCTCCATTCTTCTACTGTTTACAATACTTAAGAAACTTATGGTAGACCACTGGTGAATTTTTGTACAATACCTGTCTGTCAACGACTACTACTACTGGAGGTTTCATTAAGAAAATGTAAAATTTACGATATCTATAAAATGGATCCAAAATGCTTATCAAAATGTTTTCAAAGGTACACAAATGTTAATATTTTATTAATAAATTTTGTCTGTAAACATTTATAAAGTCATGCCAAACTGTTTTTTTTCATGTCCCTGGGTGAAAAATTCTAGACATCACTTCGATTTTGTGTAATTCAAACTTATGAAGGAATATTCAACAAATATTGAAGAATGATTGGATAACACTGGTTTACACTAGTTGCCTTTCCCAACTTTTATTTCCAGTTGAGCAATCAATGAGGTCATACTGAATATCTGCTTTTACTTCTAATTTTGTGATTGGTCAGAATTGTGATTCTTATATATATATAAAGTACATCTTGCATCATGTACAGGAAGCTACTCAGAGTATGATCAACTATGATGATAATAAAAACAACGTTTGGCTCCTGCTGTTATGGAACCATTAAATCCTACTTATTGTTGGGTGACAATGTATAAAAATCCACATTTGTACGTGTATGTGTCTAACGTTAACTATTATGAACAACAGAACAAAACAGCAAAGCGTAATGTTAAAACAACTGATAGACTTGTCAAGATGTATCTTTATTTGTAGTTAGATTACCTCTCCCCCCACAGTTGCTTTCCTCCCTCATACTACAATTTTGGGGCAAATTGTAAAAGATTTGAAACATTATTTTTTTGCGTAATGAAACCCCTGTATTATAAATATACAGCAGTCAGGTAAGGGGAATTTTTTCCACTAATACTGTTAACAATGTCTAAAATATCTAGTGAATTCTTACTTTCAACAATTTATCCGATGGTTTTTGAAGACATTTATACATTAAATATATTTGTTAATAATAACCTAGATATATTTGGTGGTCTTATGAGAGGCTTTCTATAATAATTTACTACCAAGGTATACCTGGTAGTCTTATGACTTGCTTGCAAAAAGAAGGGTAAGAGATAATCTTATTGAAGTTTACAAGATTATCCAGGATATCAATAAAATAAAAGTCACTTAGTTCTTTGTGCTGTATTCTGAAGATAATACAATGAAAGGACACGTGTTAAAGATGTGGAAAAGACAGACTAGACTCCAGTTAATTGTTAATATTATTATTTGTTAAGAGGGTTATTGACCTATGGAATGAGTAATTATCAGCAATAGTGGAGACTGGTACTTTACAGAAGCTTAAAAGGAAAATTGATAATTTTCTGAAAAATATGGATAGGTTAAAATTTTTACTTTTCTCAAAGGTGAATATGCTAGACAGCTTCAAAAGACTAAATGGTTCATTATTTGCAATAGATCCAGGAATTTGGTAATTGATTAATCATCAGACTCATTAATTGATCACATTCAACTAATAAATTATTCCGACATAAGAATTGAATAATTGGAATAATCACAAAAACTAAGAATAGAAATACTAATTTTGATTAGTTGATTATTTTCATGAGTCGTGATACTAATTAATTTAAAATAATAATGAGAAATCATAATGGCAATATTCTGTTTACTTGGATGATTGGAATAATCAGTAACAATAATAACCGGAAACTTATTTCAATTAGTTGATTATTTTCCTGACATTCATCAATTTAATTGTAATTTTGATTAATCAATTATTTTATATGACACTAATTAATGCTCATAGGTACTGAATTATAATTTATATCAATTAATCACCCAGCTGTAACTGTATGTATATTGATATAATTTGTTTTGATATTAGTACATTAAGCTGTCTATCACTCTTAAGACTAACTAAAATTAAATTACTAACCAAACATCCCATTATAAAAAGTATCTAATTTCTCAGAAATTGTATGATTGTGAAGGCATGCCACATACCAAAAATTTCACCTTCCAAAGTTAAAGCTAAATTATGAAAATCTTGAAATTCCATATCCTTTATATAAACAAACTTTATTTTTTTCTACAAGAGTACAACAAAAATTAAAATGTACAATGGCACGAGGACTTGTTAGTATTTACACAAGATGATGATGATGAATACAGATATGAATACAACCTAGCAGGAATACCAAAAATTACCAAGTTCTTTCACAAAGTTCAAGCATATGCAAGTTGTTAAATGCTAGACTGATTATTTACTTCTTTGTATATATAGTAAGTGTAATGCCTTTTCCCTTCACTTGGTGCTTTCATTTAACTCTCTAAAGTTATACTTTGAAGACTTGTAGTATTAGTTGTACCTATTTATAGTTAGGAAGATTTTTTTACTCAAAATTAAATCAAAAATTAATAGGAAATTCATTCTATATAAACATAAAACTGATGCACAAAAGTAAAAAGTGTTACTTTCACTATATAATAAAGAATATCTTGGAGTACTTATGTTAAACTTTTACACTTAAGGACATAATATTCTCTTTTTATAAAGGTTCATATTCTTGGCATCCATTCATACTGATACCCTTGTGTCATACATGTAAATTGCTCATGACCAATGGTTACTATGCATACCCAATCAACTCGCCTCTGGCATACAACTACACAGGTTAAAAGCATTTGCCCTCTTGTAATTCAGTTGAAATGTGATGACTTACAAGTGTAAGCAGTGCTTAAAACTGAACTCTTCTGGTAGGGTTACATTACAGGTCTTCAGACAAAATTCTCATTAAAAATCAAACATACATACAATATTATAAACATGAACACAAACACAAAATTAAACAAATAAATAAATAAATAAATATATATATATATATATATATATATATATACACATTACAAAAAAGAAGAAAAAACATTCCATTTTTACTATAACTTATACATTTTAAAAGTTTTCATATCATGCGATTATAAAAGTACAGAAGGCACAAATTTTAGAATTTTAAAGGAAGAAACATCCTTAGTGTTCAATCACAATGATAAAGCAAGTTAAAGAATACTATTAAGAAAAATTAGGCTATTCCATAACTAACTTCCAGTCGCACACCAGAGGTAATGAAGAAAGTTAAACACCTTGTCACTAAATGTTACCCAAGAACATAATGGTAGTATAGAACTGTGAACAAGAGATTCACCAAGATTTAAATCTACAAAATCAACACAAGAGTCACTTTAACAAGCTTTTGTCAAAGTACAAAGCTAAATGAAAAAAACACCTGTCTAAAGATGAATAAGCATAGTTAGAATGCAACAAATGGAGGCATTTCATCACAATGGGCAACAAATATATTTGTTTAAGAGTCTGAAACAATTTTTACACCATTTATTGACATCCTGTTACAATTTTTCCAAGGGATTTACAATGATTGCAGGTTAGAGCTATAAATGTAAAGTTAAACATACAAATAGCTAAGAAAAATTCTATGATGAACTCTACAACTCTGCATGCTATCAGGTTAACATGCTCACCACTATACCATGAAGAAATTAATATCTTTGAAAATATACATGCCAATAAAATTTGGTTATATTAGCCTAGTTTGCCTAATGGGAAATTGGCACTGGTTCTGTCAAAATGAAATATCCAGCCACACATTCAAGTCACCATGTCAGTCCCTCTGCAAAGTGCAAATACAAATTAATGATAAACCATTCACAGACACACCCTAGCTGTGGACCTTTTGTGCCATAATTTCAATTGCATCTCAAATGAGTCCTCAGAAGTTGGTATTCATATGGTGAGTGGACTTTGGAAAGCATGTAAGGATGAGAGGGCAATGTTGACTTCAACATTCAATGTGTTATTCAAAGCCCTTCTGCTGTGAAAATTGTAATGGAGTGCAACAACCCATAATCAAGACAGAGTCATCACAGAGAACATCAATGATTAAGAAAAAGGGGGCTATAACTTAGTATAAGATCATCATCAAGATAGGCATTCAGTTTTGTATGGTTACTATACGTTATAAACATCCTTCTGTATATTAATATTTATTACTACCTTGGCTTCGCTAGCAACTGAGTGTTACGGATACCATTTATTGCCTATCCACAACTTTATCCTTGAAGCATTAGTTTGATAATTAGACTGCAACATACGTGTTTAAATCATTTAAATGTTACTACTTAAATAACTTAGGCCTAACTCTTACTTAATATATTAGCTACTCTCAACACTTCCACAACTCTAAAACTAAAATATTTTATACTCGTTACATAAAAATAACATCTGCTGTACTTTCTTAGCAAATAGTAAACAGAAGTTTATTACCGTAAAATTGAAGGTCACCACAGTTAAAAGAATTTAAACCCAAAATTTTAAAATATAAAACAGAAATTATATTCAAAAAACAAACCATACTTTTGTATTACCCCCACAAGACCACTTTCGATGAATAAGAAAATTCCACCAGGTGTCGATTAATTTATGATGTAGTTGATTCGCGAGACAAGCCGCATGAACGCACGGAATGTTTTAAGATGATGAGCCCCGCCCTCCTTACTCATTCGATGAGTCAGTTTGCTCATTCACTTTATCAATGGTTAAGATACTGAGAAAGAGTTTATATACGAATGGCGACATCGTCAGTTGACAAATTAACACAAACATTAATGCTTATTGAAAAAAACTTGTTTATTAGATAATAAACAGGTTTTTCAGTTAAACTGACACTGACAGAATATTTCCGTTACTTATTTCTTAATGTTTATTGTAAAAATTAAAAGTATCACTTCTAAGCGTTGGAGTTTGTGTGTATTATTAAACTGCATACTCAATATTAGTGAAGACATATAGTTCTACAGTGAGACAGCGGTAAGTTTCAAGACTTAGAATGTTAAAACCCGAGGTTCGGTTTTCCGCGTTGGACAGAGTGCAGATAGCACATTGAGTAGCTTTGCGCTAAATAAATCAACAACGTAAAAGTGTATACTTACGAATATGTACAATGACAATTTTAACAAATACAGGTAAATAACATAATACTGATGCACAAACAATCACTTTTTTTTTTCTTTTTCAAAACAGTACATATACTTGCACTGCAAACATCAAACTTTTAAAATCAACCAGTAAACGTCAATATGAGACATGATACAATCTATTTTACAGATTATAATCACCAGGCGAAAAAATTATAGTTTGAAAAATAAAGAAATAAACTTTTTTCTTGTTCACACGAACGATATCTGATGCTTGTTTGTTTGTTGTATTTTGGAATAATGTTATTTGAGGGCTATCTGCGCTAACCGTCCGTAATTTTGAAGTGACAGGCGAGGGGAGGGGGAGGCAACACCGTTTACCGCCAAACCTTGGGCTACTCTTTTACTAACAAATAGTGGGATTGACCGTACATTGTAATGCTCTCACAGACGAAAGGGGGAAGCATATTCAGCGATAGGTTTTGATCCCACGACCCGCAAATTGCCGGTCGGGCGCCCTAACTAATACCATGCCGGGCCCTGCCTTTTCACACAACAGGGTAAACTGCTAGGTCAGGTGTATCGACCCTTAATGAAGACAGCCAGACGGCAGTATCTGCAGCCTAAAGCAGTTACTCTTTAGTGAATAGCGGGAGGTTGGTTGTCACTCATATTACACCAAAAGCTCAAAGTGCGGAGCATGTCTGGTAGCAGCACATCTCAAACACAAAGACCTCCATACTCGAATTCTCAATTTGATATGCTTACCATTAGGTCAAGCTTGGGCCATTTACATAAATAAAAATATATATCTTAATTACATTTGTATATAATTTATACATACATAAGTGTTAGATTTTTACCACATTTTTGTTTTTGAGTTTAATCGTACTTAGTCTTAAATTGATTTCAGCAATCATCTATAATAGGTATTGCAGTCAATTAAATTAGCTTATTTTACAGATCATCTACAAGAGTTGCCTCTGTAACTTCTATTTAAAGACCTGAAAAGTGCATTTTCATTGTGTCTGTTATCTTGTATTTGTATCCCTTATGCTTATAGTACCAAGACCAATTCACGTTTCAGAATTGTGTTTCGATCCTTACTATTTGTAAATTTTTGATCTTTTGACTATAATAAGTGTTAGACTATGAAATTTCCAGATACACTGATGTCCGACAGATAAGAAATGTCCTCAAAACGCAGATTTGGAGCTGTTAAATGAGGAATAAATCGAACACCTTGAGTTAAGGAAAAACAAGCAAACAAGTAAAACCAAATTTTCCCATATTCTTAATTTCTGCTGTGACTTCAACTGACAGCTTGGGTAAATAAGTTTCCCAAACGTCTGCACAGGATAAGGTCAGGGAGAATAATTATGTCCGCTTAAGAGAAGAACAGGAAGAATAATGTTATACTGCACTTTCAAGTCAAACAAAGGGGTCCTAGTGAAGTATCTGATAACTGATAGATTACTTACATCAGTGACTATTCCAAATAGCACATTCAATGGAGAGAACCCTCATATTGACTTATAAAAGTATTTCTGTCACATTTTAATAATGGATTGTTCTACTACAGGGAGTAGACACTTAAAAAGTAAAATAAAATTTATATTGAATTAAATGCCGGTAATCCATATAGAATTTGTGTAAATCATTTTAACTGTGCTGTGAATGAAGAAGTCCATGCAAGAAATAGCATGGGCAGTTATAGCAGTATTGTATTGGATCATCACTTTAGAGAACTGCTGTAGATGTACTTGGTTCTCTGCCACATTGTAACATTGGGAGTAAATAAACTATGATTGTGGTGAACTGTTTCACTAAATTGCCAAAAGCATATTCTATTCTTAAACAGGAAAAATAAATTCTAGCAAGAAAACTCGTCAGTGAATCTGTTTCAAGATACGGGTACCAATGAAACTACAATCAGATTATGTATGGAACATTGGATCAGCCTTGTTTGTGGAAATGTGTCAGAACCTTAGAATAAAAAAAGACCAGGGCAGTAGCCCTTCGTCATTACCTAATGACATGGTGCAGGGATACAACTGTACACTTTTATATCGATTAGTCATTTATGCTCATGAACATCAGAAAATGTCGGACCAAGATCTTCAACTGCTATTTATGAGTTATCTATCTAAGAGCAGTACATGAAGCTACAGGCAACACCCCATCATCACCGATGTTTAATAGAGAACTTAAAGTGCCTTTGGATCTTTTGTACTCATGTCCTTAAGATAGTCACTCAGCAGAGTTTACACAGAATATTAATAGACTTAGGAACACCATTGATGTCATACATGACTTTACCCATGAAAGAGTTCAATCAGATAGTCATAAAATGAAAAGTTTCAATGGTGTTACTGCTGTTGAAACTGATTTGATTGAGGCGTTATTATATGGCTGTACAATCCTTGTTGCAAGAGAGGATGAAATCCAAAGTTAAGCAGGTGTTAGGAAGGACCACATGTAATGAAAAGAATCAATGATGTAGTTTACAGAAACCAAGAGAACAGGCAGCTCAACTCAAAGGTCATCTACCATAATCATCTTTGAAAATTCATTGGTAAAAGAACGTCTATCTGAGTAATTTCAGAGAAGAATTTGCCAACAGAAAGTCAAATACTGAAGAGCCCAAAATTCCTGTCGAGACCATTTCCAGAGGATAATCAAGGATAAAGCCATTAGTGGATTTGCTCGAACACCTACTTAGAGAGACCCCACTCCAGTGACAGGACAGCAAGTGACAATAAGGGACAAAAATGTCATATTTATCTGCATACCATGTGTCCAAGAAAGGAAAACCCACCAGAAAGACTTGGTGAATGAACATTTTAGATTATTTGTTTATTTCTCTGTTGGGATTTTTCAAGAGACTTCACAACTAAGGAAAGGAGTAATGTTGTAAGCTATATTTTTAATATCTTAATTTATATGTTTGTTTGCTAGAGGGAACTTGTAATGACGGAATGATGACTCAACATCTAAAAATTTCATGAAAATTAAAGCTGTTTTAGAATCTAGAAGCTCCTTGTACTACATATATAAATAAGAATACAATATAAAAATACCAGAATCAGTAAACTATTGAGTTAATAAGTTATCCAGTTCACTGTCAGTTAGTGAATTAAACAAAGATTCAGTTAATAATCTAAACAGTAAGTCACTCAGCGCGTTTATTATTGATTTATCTGCATGAAATCCTGGAAGTAAGTTTATTTGTGAATTAGACGCACATTTGTTTCAGAATTTCTATTGAAATGTTGTTTGTGAAGTTAGGCTTTCCTGTGAATGCGGTCTGTAGCAAATTCTATTGAAGATATAAATTAATCCCTTATCCTCGGGTGGACTGGAATTTACATTATTTTTACCAAATAATCCAAAATAACCCGCCCAACAATAGAACAAGGTATAACAACATATTACTAGCTTACTAAGAGTTTTTCTTTTATTGTAACTCATAATGCATTTTAATGTATTGTTGCGTCAGCAAGGTTACGTGACTAGTGTCAAGCCACTTTCTAGAACTATCTTGTTCC